ACACAGGAGAGGACCTCTATGAATGTAAAGAATGTAGGAAAAGCTTCTCATCACAGTCATACCTCAAGGTACATCAGCGAATTCACACAGGAGAGAAACTTTATGAATGTAAAGAATGTGGGAAAACCTTCCTGTGGCAGAGAGAACTCAAGAGACATCAGAGTACTCACACAGGAGAACAAGCCCATGAGTGAAGAATGTGGGAAAACATTTTTCTGGCAGTAAGCACTCACGAAACACCAGAAAATTCACACAGGAGAAAAGCTCCACGAATGTGAAGAATGTAGGAAAACATTCCTGAGTCAGTTTTCCCTCAACGTACATCAGAGAATTCACACAGGAGAGAAACACTATGAATGTAAAGAAAACACACCAAGTTTCTTTCAGAAATAGCATCTCACTAACCATCAGAGAAATGACACAGGACTGTAACCTTGGTTGACTGACCATTAGTTTACAATTCACTATTCTATTTTTGTTCTATGGAAACTGTTCCCTTCCCCACCCCTACTATGAGTGGATCATATAGCTTATCTTTGGCCAGGGGATTTGAAAGATTTATCTATTTATGTATAATAAACTGGGGTATGGGCCCTCCATGGTGTTGCAGTGGGTTAAAGCACAGCACTATGAAGCTATCCAAAGCCAATGCAGCTTGAGTTCTATCCCGGGCCAGGAGGTGATCCGCATGGATGGCGGACCTCTCCTGACGTGCCCTCTGCTCCTCTCAGCAGTACATTTCAGTCAATCTGCCTGTTCTGCTCCCCACTCTGTCTCTGGTGAATCCTCTCACCCCATGCATCTGTTGCCCACACCCCGCTTCTTGTATGCAGGAATAAATAAATCATTAAAGTAAAAAACCTGGGGTTTGGGGTGTTGGGCAATGAGAAGTTTCACCAGAGACAGAGGGGAGCAGAACAGGAGAGCTTACTGAAATACACTGCTGAGAGGAGCAGCAGGTGAAAACAGAGGGTTCTGCTGTGCGATGTGAGTCAGCTCCCTGACCAGGGATCCATCATGCCATTGTGGGTGGCAGTAGCTTGATAGTGCTGAGACTTAATCCCTAGGACACCAGGTGGACCCCCATGCCAGGATACTTTAAGCACAAGTGGTAAACATTAATCCAGCCAGGTCACTGAAAACTCTACCCCCACCATGTCTTTTCATATTCTGTGGCTGTGGAGTACATGTGATCTGCCAGTTTTATTGTGGGAGCTGAAGGGTGGGACAGTGTCAACACGGAAGGCTTCACATTAGACATGATTTTTTTCTGTCTGGGTTTTTGCTAGCTCACACTGCTGTGTGAAATGTTCTTGACTAATTTTAACTTTTTTGGTGGAGGACCAAAGGGCTTCATTTGTCATGAATGTTAAATGCACGAAAGTGACACACTTCTCCTTCAACATACAGGAGAAAGATAAAGTAGCTTTTAAATACGGTATTAGGTGTAAGTTAGCCAAAAAGACTTGAAAGGAGAAAGATCACAACTTGAGGCAATTGGAGACTCATTTAGGTATTTATTAGCTGGAGTAGAATTGAACAATGAGTTTTTGAGGAAGCTGTGTCTCCTTTAAGCTTTTCTACTGGGAGGAGCCAAAGAGATGGAAGTGCTAGTGTGCCTTGGTTAATGGCAGGCAAGACGCCGGGATAGGGTAGGGCACAGCTGTACTCACCCACCTTCCCTGCACACGTCATTTGCCACAAGTGCCGTCAGTCTGGGCCTCCCTGCTGGCGTAGGAGGTCAAGTCTGAGCGCTACCATGTGACCCACCTGAGGCCTGGGCCCACGCTGACCAGGGAGTGACCCACATGTGCTGTGCACACCCCTGCTTCGGCCACTGCTCCCCTCAGTTGTGCATTTCTGTGATCTGCTCCCCATTCTGTGTCTGCTGAATCACGCCCCCCCGCCGCCCCCCCCCATACCCCAGTTCTTGTATGCATAACTAAATGAGTCTTGAAAAGCAAACATCTATCATCGTGGCTTTCCAGAGAACCAAGACTGATGTCATGGTGATTTAATTGTTTCTGGCCAAGGAAATGGGACTGCCAAGGAAATCCCTCAGCAATGCAAGAATCCCTACAGTGCACTTGAAGTTGTGGAATTCACCTTTCTTGCCGTATTGCTCACCATCCAGAAGCTGCTGACTTGAGGGGAGGGCAGGATGGTCTTCTGAAGACTCAGTGGCACAACTTCAGTCTTTGCAAGACTTTGAGGTGCTGGCACAGGAGACTGCTGACTCTGTCCGGCCTGTTGTCCTGTCCTCCATGGCCAGAATTCAGGGGCCCAAGAATGAATGTGAGGACCTGGAAATGGCTGTGCTCACTGTCCCTGCATGGTGTATTCCCGGGGGAGGAACGTGTCCACCCAGACACACTGAGCGGAATTCCACTGACCTGGAAGTTCTGGCTGCTGCCCGGTCATATCTGGTCCTCCTGCCTCATTCAACAGGCCAAGAGGGGAGTTTGGCCACCTGGTGTGACTGGCCCTGCCACCACCACAGATTGGACAAGAGCCCCACAGTGGGTAAGGACAGTGTACAGAGTGTGAAGCACAGTGGTACGTGAGACTCGGGGTTTCCTTCTGCATGACTGTGCCCAGCTAATGGCCAGACCTCCAGGCATGGAGGCTTGGGTTACTCCCCACGGAAGCAGCAGTGTTGTGTCCTGTTGGTGGCGGATGGTGGCTCTGTTGGAGCAGCAGAGCTGAGGGAAGATCACATGGGTCCGCGCAGCACAATGAGAACGCAGGACGGGCCTACCTGGACGTACTGTGCAGCCCATCCGAGGGCGTCTCCTCTTGTGTCACATCAGGCACAAAGGTGGGACTGTAAGCAGGGAGTGGAGTGTTGTGTGCACGTGGGGGTGTAAGCCAGGATGGAGTGAACAAGGGTTGCTGCCCGACAAAGCCTGTCATGTCGCATCTGTCACCTACCTGCTGTTTTCACTGTCACTGGTGTCCCTTAGACTTCTCACACTGGGGCTTTGCGCTTGCTGAGAGTCCCCTGCCTGGGCCTAGCTGAGCTGACAGGCAGGAACCCTGAGCACCAGGGCCGCAGCCCTGAGGACCAGGGGGTTTAGGGGCTCCACTCGTAGTGAGATGAGGCGCTTATAGTGCAAAAGGGTGAAAAAGTCAGAAATCCCAACTGTGACACCATAAGCCAGCAGATGAGACACATTGTCGTGATTACCTCATGTCGACATGAGATATGTTTTATGCCCTCATGTAGCACGTAACGTGTTGACTTTAGACCGTAAGTATTGTTCATTTACAGAGTGTGAAGTTGCAGGGTTTTAAGGGGAAGGTTTTATTCCTCAAGGACATACTTTAGGCAGTGCATATGTGTCCTGACAGAATTCTGACCTTCCGTTGTCTTGGAGAGGAAGTGTGATTTAAGGAGATAGTGCTGTGGGAGGAGTAGATAGCATGACTTACGGTGATGAATTTATGATGCTCTATTTCTACTACATTGTCAGAATTCCTGATCTATTAGTTTATGTGGAGAGCCCTGACTAACCAACCCCACAGCAGAATGTTGAATTTCTTCTAAAACTTGTTGTTTGAGGGCCTGGTGGTGCAGTGGGTTAAAGTGCAGCACTGTGAAGCCGTCCTCAGCCACGGCTGCAAGAGTTTGATCCCTGGCCAGGGAGTGGCCCACAGGGTGCAGCAGCCCTCTCCTGTCTCACCCACTGCTCCCCTCAGCAGCGTGTTCCACTCTGCCTGTTCTGCTCCCTACTCTGGTAAATCCGTTCGTTCACCCTCCCACCCCAACCCCACACCACTGACCTGTACCCAGTTTTTGTATGCAAAAACAAATCTTCTATTTAAGAAAGTTGTTTGCCATTTAAATAGAGACTCCTCAATGATAGGTTGCAGGCATCAAATGCTACTATTTCCCAAAAGATTTCCATTTGCAGGGCTTCCCTGGTGGTTCTGTATTAGGAAGCTGCCTGCAGCCTCTGCAGCACATTTTGACCCAGAGCCAGGCAACTGAGTCACAGGACAGACCTCCTGTCCTGCCTGCAGCTCCCTCCAGCAGTGGATTTCGGTCAGTCTGCCTGTTCTGCTCCCCACTCTGTCTCTGAATACTCTCACCCCCTGCACCTCTGGCCTGCATCCCAGTTCTAATATGGATAAATAAATAAATTTTTAAATGATGATTTTCTATGTGTGACTCATCAGCATTCCTGGATACTGTCATGGTCCTTCAGGATGTCACTGCCCACAGCCCAGGGGCACCCCACTTTTATTATCCTCCCCTCTGTACAACGAGGTCTTATTCTGTGAACATTTGTAAAATGTCTTTTCTTTTATATAATTTTCACATTGGAAAACTGGGGTGTAGGCCAGAAATTCATGGAGTGAAATTGTTACAGGGCAGTGATAGGGACACCCCTGAACCTCCAAACTTGCCTGCTCTAAATAGGTTCTGCTATTCGCCGCATTAAGACAAAACATATAAGACCTTTAATGGAAAGGGACTTTAATACAGTGAGTGTGCAATACAGAAAAGACAAAGAATATAGTTTGCAAATCAAACCCCCAAAGTTACCTGTAAGTTCCCTCATGGGTAAATGTCTACCCAAAAGGGACTGCGCAAAGCAAGGCCTGAAAGCCCGACACAGATTAAAGTACCTTCCGGTGGAGACTCATAGAAAATGGTCAGCAATGGCCGGACAAATCTGGGAGGAAAAGAGCAATACCAAATCAAGATAAATGCTGCCATAGTCACCGCTCCACCCCCATCCCCCACCCCCGCCACGGGTCCCTCACCCACGTCTATTTCACCCAGTCCAGGGCCAAGAAGCAAACTTAGTTTCTTCACATGTCTCTCTTCCATGTGGCTCCCTCAGGTCCGCTTCTGGCTCCATCCAGCTTCCTTCCTGTCTCCTCTCCAGATTCTTCTCTCCTCTGCTCCAACTTCTTTGGGTGGGGCAGGGAACCTGGAAGCTCCCCTTTTCCTGTGGACCACCTAGTTACAAAAGCATTGTTCAGAGGCAGATTGGGGAGCAGGGCATATGGGGGCTACTGCAATACACTGCTGAGGGGCCTCCCTAGTGGTGCAAGTGGTTAAGCCACAGCACTTTGAATCCTTCCGCAGCCACTGGAGAGCAGGTTTTAGCCACAGCCAGCAAGCTCACGCATAGGCACAGTAGACCTCTCCAGCCTTACAACTGTAGTCCTAAGTAGTATATTTCAGTCGATTTGCCTTTTTCTGATGATCACTGTCTCAGGAGAAATCTCCAGCCAGCCCCCACCCATGCCTCAAACACCTCATTCTTGTATGCATAGATACATAAATCTTAATTAAAAAACATCATCTGGCTCTTTTTTTTTTTAAAGATTTATTTATTTATTTATACAGAACTGGGGTACAGACCAGAGATGCGGAGGGTGAGAGAGAATTTCCCAGGGACAGAGTGGGGAGCAGAACAGGCAGATCGACGTACACTGCTGAGGGGAGCAGCGGGCAGGTCAGGAGAGGTCTGCCGCGCCATCTGCAGCCAGCCCCCACCCATGCCTCAAACACCTCATTCTTGTATGCATAGATACATAAATCTTAATTAAAAAACATCATCTGGCTCTTTTTTTTTTTTTTTTTAAAGAGTTATTTTATGTGTACAAGTGGGCTGTAGGCTAGAGGGGTGGGAGTGGTGGGTGAGGGAAATGGAAGAATAGAATAGAAAAGTTCCAAAGAGGCGCCATAAGACCAGAAACCTGGCTCACACAATGCTGGGAGCTGGGGTGGGAGGAAAGGGGATTAACATACCCATTAACCTAGCTACTGGCACTTAAGCTTGAAGAAGGGAGGAGGGGATGACAGGGCCTTGAAGCACCAAGGAGAGAGGGCAGAGCGCCCCCTGGCTGTGAGGCTGGGAAAGTGGAGAGTGGGGGCCTGGGTGTGGGGTGTAGAGCAAGCCCAGACGAAGGGGTGAGTGAGTCCTGATGCCACTTACAACCTGAGGGCTGGTTTGTGGAGCTGTGGTCACTGCCAAATAATGGTTTTGTAACACGGGAAGAGTAGGTTCCAGATGCCTGCCCCACCCAGAGAGGTTGTTGCTGAGCTGGGAGGGAAAGAGGCTGCAGAGGAGGCTGCAAGCAAGCAGGATGGACAGCAAGCAGGAGACCTGGAGGAGCCACACGGAGCAGAAAGACACGTGAAGAAACTACTTCTTGATGCTGGACTAGGTGATGCAGGTGGGTGAGAGACCCGTGGGGAAGTTGCCTGTGGCAACTTTTATCTTAAACTTGATTTTGCTCTTGATCTCCCAGACTTGTCTGACCATACCTGACCCTTTTCTATCGATCCTTCAGACTTGTGTTGGACTTTGAGACTTTGCGTGGGCCAGTCCCTTTTGGGGGGACTTTTACCCACACGCGGATGGGTAACTTGTGTAACTTTAGGTGTTTGATTTAGAAATTATATTTTGTCTTCTGTATTGTGTGCTCATTGTATTAAAGTTCCTTTCCATTAAAGCTCTTATTTCTTGTCTTGATGCAGTGGATGAGACAACCTATTTAGAT